TAAAAGTGAGCCTCAAAATGCCAAAGAACTATTTAATTATAGGCATTCATCTCTGCGCAATGTGATTGAACGACTTATGGAGCTTGAAAAAATAGATTTAGAATACTGAAACAAGGCATGAACCATTATGATATTGATACACAAGTGAAAATTGTCATAGCTTGTGCAGTGTTACATAATTATTTGCGAGAATACCAAAGTAGTGATGAAAATATTTATGGTCTATGAACATGAAGATATAGTTGCGGAGGATATTGACCAACAAAATGGCTCAAAGTAACAATGTTGGTTCGTCTTCTCGGTCACATGATCGAGAAATGCAAGTTCAACGTGAGGAAATTGTTTGTACTATGTGGGAGGATTATATTAAAGACTAGTACACTACAATTTATGTTCAATTTTTTTTTATTAAATTAAAGTTAGATGAAACAATTACTTTAAGTTAGATTATATTAATGATTGCAGAAAACTGCAATTATACATACAGCATTGATAAAGATGACATTTCTGGCAAATATATGTACTTAATAAATATCAGTGTGATCAATGAAATATATAGGAGCAGATACAAGAGCACATTACCAAAAAAAAAGATTTCACACGACTGAAAAAACACAATTTTTTTCTTTCCTGGTTAGAAGGGTGTATCTTCATATAATTTTTTATATACATTGTATAATTTTTGAACGAAGGGTGTCCAATTATAACCTTTAGTTACCATCATTTGTGCTGATTAAAAAGAAAATTCAAGAACTAAATTAGGATACCCAAAAAATAGGGAGGAGGCAACAAAGAACAACCTAAGAAATTAAAAAAAAAACTGATGAAAAAAAGAAGATGAGTGTTATGGCTGGATAATGGGATAACCTATGAATGGAGTTTTGGGCCGGGAACTAAACGGTAAGCCCATCCAATCCCATGACCTGGTCTTAGTGGGCTGGGCCTTAGTGAGACGATGATAGTGTTATACAAGACTAAAGTAAGACAATTCAAAACTAACAGATCTTTATGCTTATTAAACAATTTATTTTCGAAATCATTTCTTCAGTGGCTTCCTTACCTTCATTTTTCTGTATACTCAGAATCAGAATATACAAGTAAAATTTGGCGTATATACCATAATATTTGTGTAATAGTAGGATAATATATACCAGAAAAATTCTACTCAATTTTTCTAAAAAAAATACTCTCTCTGTTCCTTTTTATATGTCATCCTTATTATAAGTAATTGGTCCATAGTACTTGTCATTTCATAAAATCAATGCATAAACTTCATATTTTATACTTGTGAGTTATTAACCTTGAAAACATACATTTGACCAACATAGAAAAACAAATTGAATAATTCATGTTCATTGGTCAAATTAATTCATATTCATTTATTGCAAAGTTGACTTCAAAATAAATTAAATAAGGGTAGAATAGTAAACTTACTCAATAATTTTTTAATGCACCCAAAATAAAAAATGGTGACACATAAATAGTAACGGAGAGAGTAATAAGTTCATCAATCTGATCAATAGGATTTAACATTATGTGAATTAAATACCATTTGAAGTTCCAATGATATCAAAGTGTTTCATTCATTGCAAAGAGCTATTACTCCCTCCATCCTTAATTACTTGTTCATTTTTGAATTGACACACCAATTAAGAAAATAATGATTGACATTGTGAGTTTATCATTTTACCCTATTAATTATGAAGTTGATGAATTAAAACTTACGATTTTCAAGAAGTTCTACATTTTTCAAAGCAATTAATTGAGGGTATAATAGGTAAAAAAAATTTGTCCTTTCTTGATTTGTCAAAATAGACAAGTAATTAGGGACAACTAAAAAAGAAAAAGTGGACAAGTAATTAGGGACAGAGGGACTACTATTTATCTGTGAAAGCCCAATTCTTGATAAGTAACGACAGAAGAAAATCGGACCAACTGCTTGAGAAGAGGTCCATTAATATTATCTATCGAGTTTCAAACTGTGCACGTTTTGTTTGTTTCTACTACTATATACTCCCTCCATTTCATATTAATTGAATTGTTGAAACATTTTTCATTTTTCAAATTAACTTAATTGTTTAATTTTCAAGATTATTTTTAAAATATTCTTCCAATTTTACACTTCATTTGGATTTTCAATGTGATGACTTCAATAAACTTTAATTAATGTTTAGTTATTTTAATTATAAATTTGACAATAATTAATAAGAGTAAAAATGGAAAACTATGTTCAATTTATGTCTTAATTTACTTTTCTTAAAGGGTGTGAAACACCTCAATAATTCAATTAATATGAAATGGAGGGAGTATAAAGTTGCTTTATTATTTTTTTATACTGTGGGAATTAAACATGTATACAACCAACCATAGCATAAACAAGTGACTCTTTACAATACAAGAAATAAATGTATCTATCAAATCATCAGAGAGATAATTGTGATAGATATACATATTGCGATAACGTACATACGTGTGTGTACATATGTTCTACACATTTATTAGTAGCACAATATATAATCAACTCAATATTGAGAAGGAGGAGGGGCTGCATCAGAAACTGGATCACTGCCGGCAGGAGAAACTGCGTCAGTCACTGGATCATTGCCGGCAGGAGAAGCTGCGTCAGTCACTGGATCATTGGCGGCAGGAGTAGCTGCACCAGTCACTGGATCATTGCCGGCAGGAGAAGCTGCGTCAGTCACTGGATCATTGGCGGCAGGAGTAGCTGCACCAGTCACTGGATCATTGCCGGCAGGAGAAGCTGCATCAGTCACTGGAGCATTGGCGGCAGGAGAAGCTGCATCAGTCACTGGAGCATTACTGGCAGGAGGATCTGCACCAGTCACTGGATAACTGCCGGCAGGAGGATTTGCATCACTAGAAACAACCGGAGCAGCTGCACCTGAATTTATGGATGCGGACTGAGACATTCCACGGCGTGGACGAGTTTTCTGAGATGCGCACATTTTTCGCAAAGATAATCCTGCACATATGTATCAAATAAAACAAAGAGGCCTAGCTAGCTTTTATCAAATGCCCTGGGAATACTCTAATTATAATGTGAAGTTTTAAATTTGTATCAACTACCTTGTGAAGATTTGAAATTTGGTTTCAAATGAAGTAGTAATTTTCCCTCTCAAAATTTCAATTTATTCTTTCAAGTGTTCAAACAGAACTTCAACTTAAAATATTATCCAAACACCTCACCTTCAGCAGAAGCGACAGTGGAGTAAAGATCGATAATGTTGGGGCAATTGTTGTAACAGTGATGTGAACATAGCTTGGCAATGAATTTAGAATCAACAAGGGCATCTGAAGAGAGGCCGAGAGATTGCCTATCAACACCACATGCACCAACGCATTCATCTGTCTCTATATATTCCTGCAACATTTTATTACTTGCAAATGCTTCTGAAGTCTGGCACTCCACTTCAATATTTCCTTCTTCAGACGGGCGACTCTCCAGCACACACCTCTTTCCGTCCGATGCAATTGAAAGCGCACACATTTCAACTGGTAGTTCCTCGCATATCAACTCACCTGAAAGATAACTCAAAACAAAATATTATAATAACAAAACTATACTAGGTATTACTCCATTTTGTAGAGTTAACAAAGTAAAAATAACTTTTGAATTTTGTGGTCTTAAACTAAAAATACATAGAATGTACCAAAATATCTTTTAAACATGTCACGTAAAGAGTTAGCAAAACAAATAAATTGAAACCGAGCTAAGGATGAAGAAGAAATTAAAGATATTACCAAGAGCTCCTTGGAGGAAGAAGGATAAAGCAAAGAAGAGTATGAACTTCATATTGATTGATTCCAGAAAAATATATGAGGGAAGAGACAGTGATTGTGTTTGCATTGAAGGGAATATATAATTTTGGAAAGTGAGAGTTTATATAGAGCTTCCTAGGGTCAAAATAAACAATTCTTTTATCCTAGGAAGTCAAAATAAACAATTTTTTTTTTATGGCAGAGGTCAAAATAAATTGGAAGGGAGAACTTGTAGTCAAACTGGTTTTCCATATAATCAGGACAGATTCACCTTACAAAACTAACCATGTCCAAAAGAAAAGATCATGTAATAAGTTGATCAATATTATTTTTTACTATTATAAGGTTGCATGAATAATGTGAAGTTGCTGGCAGATTGTCATTGTCTATGGAAAGTACAAAGATGAGCAAGTCTTCAAGATAAGCAAACCGTAACACCGTTCTTTGCTGGCTGTTTGTCTTTTGTACTAGGTGGAGTTGTAACACGAGAGAAAGCTTACGTTTATACATAAAAAGAAAGGAAAGTACCAAGTTTGTTTCTTCTAATTTTAGTAAGTTTATTTTTTCTTCTTTAGTTGTTTGTATGTATTAAATAGTAGTAATATTAATGACCTCCTTTCGTCATTTCAAGTAGTGCCAATATTTGGTTGATGAGCGTTGCGCAGTCGAATTTTGGGATTTTATGTGTGTTGGGACTCTGGCTATTCATTTCACATGTATTATGTTTAGGATTAGGAAGAAAAGATAACCTTCAGCAAAATAACAAGGAGTTTTTGATAGAATGTGGTATATAGAGAGATTTACCATGATTTAGAACGAACAATCCACTCTGTAGATTTTGGCTTAGGTAGTTTACTATATCCATGTCAATAAATATATTTCCAGCATCTTCGTTTTAATTAAATCCTTTTTGAAATAATATAAATAGTCATGCTAAGACTCGCTACGGTACCTTCAATTAATTTTATTTCTTGTTCTGCAGCAAGTAGCAAGTAGTGTATGCACATCTAAAATCTCCAGAATCCTGAGTCTTTTTCAAAGATGGACTTCATACAATAAGAACAAATGAAGCAAATATAAATAAAATCACAGGAGATGCCCTACTCACTAAGCAAGGTCATAAGAGCTCCTACTCTCTGCCTCAACCAATAAGGCAGACAGATTTAACGGCACAAATTTAATTTCAATCACCTAATCACATTTGGTAAAACAAGGGGGTCAATTTGTACTAGTCAAATATAAGGATGTATCAAAAATCGAGATATGGTGTCTGAAATTAGAGAGAGTTCAGTTTGTAAGTTAGTTATCCTCAGAAAACAAGGGTGGTTTCGTCCCATAAAGGTCACCAATGATCAGCCAAAACACTTCAATAATTTAACATTACATTGTATGGTATTGTAAAACCATATATGAGAGCTTAATGCTATGGTGCTTTCACATACTTCCCACACTGGTAGCAGCAGAAATGCAGAAGCATGGCATTGAACAACTGGACGCTGAATTCAACCAACACCCATCACCAATAAAGGCAAAATGATCCAAGTTCTGTATACAATGAGAACACTGATACTTGATGATATATTGCTTCAACATTTGCTTGGACGCGCGGGAAACTAACACCAACTTTTAGGCTTCAATAATCAATCATAACTTGCATTCAGGAATTTGAGTAATTCATTTCGTTTACTCTCTGCTTCCTTATCCTCCTTTGTCTTGTCTAGCTTCAAGAGAATCTACAAAATAAGAACACTTAACCACTTACATTCCACAATAAGAAACGTAAGTAACACAGCTTTAATGCACCCATGTTTCAAGGTGATTAATACACAAGCTACAGGTAACAAACACCAGTAGAAATGTTCCCCAGAAAGATGAACATACCTTTTTTCCAGAGACAGCACTCCGACGGACCCCATCATCTTTGTCACGACCTAAAAACTGGATTTGGTAGATTACACATGTGAAAAAAAGAAGGGAGAAAAATCCTAAAAGAGAACTACAATTTAAGTATGAAACCGTAAAACCTTAGAGAGCTGCACAGGGCCACTACTTTCCACCTGCTGCTTCTGCATATGGCTCGCATTGCCACCATAATCCACAAGCAAGTAACAAAACAATGCAAGTTATCGAGCATCCAGTCATCATGTCCACAGCTCCAAATTTGAAGAGCCATAAAAAACAAACAGGCAGAAAAATACTATAAGCATCTCATACTGTAACAAAATGCATTTACTCACAATAACTGAAATCTAAGTTCATATGGACTGTAAAACTGTACACTCTTAACATTTATATGCTCAGTGTAATTATGTAAGACACGAGAACATAAAATGCAGAAGAAGTCTGGCAGAATAGATGAACACTGCTTGATCATGAGAACAAAAATCTACCTCTTTAATTTTATTCTTACGACGTTTTTGCCGGTGACTTTTCCCTTTCTCTTTATCCTTCTTCTAAAAAGACAACAAGCTGATAATATGTCAATTTTCAAGCAAAACATGTAATTGAATGAATAATAATCAGATCTTCTGAAGCAACCACCTTTGTGCCTCTATCTTTATGTATGTGTCTTTTTGAACTGCTGACTGCTTCACGCTCACTGTCTGAAGAACTGTCAGCAAAAGAGATGTAACAAGATGGTTACAAGGAAAAAGGAAGCATCCATCTAATTGATAAAGACTTGACATGCAGTTACAAAGATAGCAAGAGGAGCCCTCCACAATATAACACAATCACACATTTGAAAATTGACATGTTAGTGTAAATACTAATTTAGGATAAAATTCATGGGTTAAAAAGTTTCCTAAAATAGCACTTTTACTATAGGTTTTATGCTTTCTATGAGTAGTTTAACCTTTAAGGGTCACTTAGTTCAAAACAAAGTTGTCCCAATTATAATTCTGGGATTTTGGTATAGAGTTTTTCCTGGTTTTAGCTTAATACCCACAGCCAAGCACGGAACCAATTCATATCAAGTTGTATAAGATAAAACCCCTATATCCCTATATCCAAACAACCTGTAAGAGAATAATACATTTCTAATAAAATATATTTGTATTAGCATAATATTGCCATGAAGCATGAGATGAGTATAAATGGAGTAAAATGGTCAGTGACAATTCATATAGACGAAGACACAGTTAGTTTGAGACAAGCGGAGTTGTTATTGGTGCTTGATTTAAGCTAACATCACTGCAAGTTGCAGTTCAGAAACTTTCTTTCCCTTGGTTGAGAAATAAATGACATTCTTTTCCAAATCGCAAGCCAACTTGCTACAAGTAGTCACCAAGCAACTTTCCTAACTTAAATAGAAAAAAAACAAGGTATCTGACATTACATTACCTAAAAGAATACTTTGACAGATTAGAACTTATTACTTGTCTGGCTCTTAATCCCCAGCTTTCGGAAATTAACAGTAAATTGAGAGGTATAGATAAGGCGCTAGGTAACACCTAACTATCTATTTATATTGACAAGGTGACAAATATCTTCGTGAAGAATACAGCAGTTCCCATTTCCCAATACTTATAACCGATTTCAAGATAAGCAAATAATTTGAAGCAACCATTTGAATAACTCATATCTAACTAGCATTGATCCTTCGAATCAATTTACACGGCTAATTAACCCTAAGTTCATAAAGCAAGATCGTCAAATCCCTAAAATCATTCTCCATAAAACAAACTATGTATAAGTAAACCTGTAATCTTCGGATGATGAGGAAGAAGAATAGCTGTCGGACGATGAATGACGGCTACGACGACGTTTGGTGCGAGAGCGGCTCTTCTTGCGGATCTTGAGAGAGTCCTTATCTTTGTCTTTGCGGTTGCGCCGAGGACGCTTACGGTCCCGGTGAGCTGAAGACGATGAAGACTCCGATAGCGATGAGGACGAAGAGGCGGCCATGGAGATCGACCGATGAGCTGAGCGCTTTTTTTTCCCTTGTGAAGAGAGAAACGACAAACTGGTGCAAGTTGTATCTGCTTGGCGACGTTTCTTTGGATTTTACGTTTCTCGAAAGGGTAATCTTGGTATTATGCTAGTATTCCATTCAATAAAAGTAAAACCCCTAAACTTCAAACTTAAGGCTTGTTTGACAAAGGTTTTTAGCGTTTTTGTTTTTTTTCTTAGAAAAATAAAAGTATTATTTGAGAGATCTCATAGTTTTTGGATTGACTTTCTAGATATAGCTATTATTTTAATTTATTTTTATATTTTCATCGCCTAAAAATAACTGTTTTAAAGTTTTTTTTAGTCTTTTTAAGTAACATAAAAATAGAAAAAATACTTAAAATAAGTTAATTCAAACGCCTTGGATTTGATATCATATTTAAGAAAATTATTTATGATATGGAAATCCTAATTGGATAGACAAATGATCTTTATCTAATTTATTTTATAGGCTTTTTAAGGCATTATATAATAGAAGTTATCCTTAACGATGAAAGGATATTCATAGGTCTTACTTGACACACATGTATTGATATGATTTGTGCAAAAAAAATGAAATTAATTATGATAATGATATTTAGTTATGATAAATGTAAATGGTGGCTATTAATAGTGATCGATAATAATGAAAGTTGTGGTTAAGGATAATGAGTGGTGGAACACAGTTGATAATGGTGGATCACAATGGCAATAATTGATAAAAGTGGACGATAATCGTAATAACAAGTGAATATAATTAGCAAAAGTACTATTTCTGTAGAAATATCTAACCATACACTTAATGATATTCAAATTTTATTACAAATCTTAATCTCTAATAAAATAAACATATTTAATAATTAAGATAAAACTTAAAAAAACAAGCGAACTTAATAACTTATATATAAACCATTAAAATCTCAATCAAAGGATAAAATATTTTAATTAAATTTCTATTGAATTTGTACTTATTTATAACTTCACCCTTAAAATCACATTTTAAAAAGACTGATTAGATACAAATAAAAGTGTTTCCTAATTTGACAAAATAGGAACTGATATAATTTTAAAAGCTCTTTTTCTCTAAAGAAGCTTTGACGAATTTAAACTAATCAATTTTCAAAAATTTAATCAAACAAACTTCTAAATTAGATATAATAAAAATTAAATATAAACTGCAATGAGCGATTAAGATACATCAACTAATGACACACTATTGAACTTTTTGACTAAATGGTATATATTCCTTCATAGTTAAATAAGTATTTTGATTCAAATCTTATCGAAAATCAAAATAATTTTTTACAAATGTAATTTTAGAATAATTGAGTTCAGGCAGAAGCCCTCTAAACCAACAACCACGCTGGCATACAAATTTTCATATTGTGAAATTATCAACAAAGACTTGGGAAAGAGAAAATCCAATTATCTTACTATTTTTACCTAATTTCAAATATTCAAGCATTTATCATAACAAATTCCTAAATATACTCAAAGACATTAAAAAGAAAGGAATATAATTACAGGTCAGATTATGACAGAGAAAAATATCAAAATTATTTTTTTTTGGTTTTTTTCTTTTCTTTTTCCCATACACAGTTTTTATTTGTTCGAGCGGTTAGCAACAGTTGGGTTATATCTCCAAATAGTAGCAAAAATTGTTGATGGGAGAGGATTTGAATGAAAGCTGATAATGAAGGAATTCCAATCAAAGAAGCACATGATTATTCTCATCAAAAGCTTATAAACCAATTAGGCCCCAAACACCTAATTTCTTGTTAGGAGCTGCCGTCACTCCCACTACCCTGCAGCCAAATTTGTCCGCTCGGAGATTCCGCTGAACTTGGTGCTTGTGCTGTCGCCTTATATTCATCTGTATCTGCTGCCGGAGATTCTGGTGGAGATGTTGATGGAGATTCTGCCGGGGACTGTGACTGAGATTCCGCTGGGGATTCTGACGGAGATTCCTCTGACGATTTTGACTCCGGGGCGTCTGCTACAGATTCTGTCGATGGAGCATCTGCGGAAGATTCGGTCGGGGATTCTGCGGGAGCTGCAACTCCATCCTCTGTTGGAGTAATGTTCACAAGGTTATCTTTTTTTTTTTTTTGTATTTAATTCAATTTTACTATTCTATGAAATTTATCGGACTAGCAATAAAAATAAAATAAAAAATCGCGTCAACCCAAGCAAGTTGGAGTGTGGTAGTTCTATTATTGATTGATGGTTTTACAAATTCAATATAGTTTGTAGTTTTGTGTACATGTATGTATGTATGTATGTGACAGATATGTACACGCATTTGGTTTTATATAAAAAGATAATTTCTTTTTAAGAAGTTGTTTAGAAATGTTTTATGAAACTTTTAGTAATTATTTCTAAAAACGAGATTCATAAAAAGTTTTGTCTTTACCACTGGCGATGTCTTTGTATTCTTGGTCATCCACTGGGGAGTATACGATGGAAGAATCAGATTGTGGTGGCGATAAGAAAAATCCTGAGGTATAAGGGACACCAGTAGATGGTATCCACAAATCGGCATCTATGAAACTTGATGTTGTGAATCGTTGAACACGTTCGATAGGAAGTTCCTTAACACCTGACCATCTTACACGATCTGTTTTGGATGATCCTGACCCTTTATTGTTGAATTCAGTATAGAATAGTGTCTCAAAAGCGAATGTTTTGTTCCATTCCAACCATCCTTCTGGCTGAATCAGATCATCTATATTAGATTCCATTATGATAGTTCTTGAATACTGTTTCCATGGACGACCAAGATATGTCTTGACTTCCCCCTTGACCTCATTATAAGATTCATCAGCCACAATGCTGCAGTTTTGAAAGACAAGTCCCGTTGGCTGGCGGGCATCTGTCCTGCCTTGTGCTGTCACAATGCAGTGTTGTTCTTTCATAGGCTTTCGTACCGCGAGAGTGCAGTTCTGGAACACAGCAGCAGCATCCCCAAAAACAAAATCGATGGTGCCTCTGATCGTACAATCCCGATAAAATTGTCTATAGGTGTGGGCACAGAGAGTGTCTTGGTAACCGTCCACATGGCAATTGTAGAAGATTGATTTATCTGCTGCCACTCTCAAAGCTAAGGCCTGGTGTTTATCTGGACCAGCAGTGTTCTCGAAACCAATGTCCTTAGCAACGAAATAATCTCCCATTATAGCTACAATAGTCACAGTTACTCTTCTATTAAATCACAAACAAGAGAGCATGAAACAATTATATATGTAGTGTTATGAAATAAACTCCCTCTGTTTCATTTTTTAGAATAGACCATAAGAGAAAAATGTCATATAAAATGAAACAGAGGGAGTAACTCGTATTTAACTAATGTATAAGTAATTTGTTGTGTACCAAAACTTACCAACAGTTGAAGTTTGATAGGTTGGAATGCCATCTTTGAAGCTTTGGTTTCCGGTGATTCTGGTCTTGGTCGGACCATCCCCAATGATCACCAAATTCGACATGGTGCTAAGAATCTCCACTTTCTCATTATAAACACCCTCTTTGATGTACAGAACATAAGTCTGGTTTCTATGCTCTGGGATGTGTTTGAGAGCGTCATTTATAAACTTGTATTTGCCTGATCCATCCTTGGCAACAACCACATCGGGTTTGATTTCGTTAGACATGTTAACAGCAAGAAGTCTGCGCCTTCCCACATCAATCCAATCAGGTAACAACTCAATTCCATGACCCAAAACAGGGGTATCATCGAAAAGGAGACGACGACGATTGGAGCCTGCGTTGAGGCTTGTGAAGACATCGGAAATCTCGGTGATCATTGAAAGGGCATTGCTAGTTAGCTGCATAGAAACATTCAGTGCCTTTTTCATTTTCTCCCCCGCCTCTCCGGTAGTGTCCTCAAAGCCATCCAAGCAAGTTTCTTGATATGTAATTGCACCACTCAACCAAATCTTCAAATCAGCAATCCAATGACTCAGGTCATTGAACTCAAAACTTTCGAATTTGATGTGTGTTCTATTGAGATCATTAACGGCTTGCAACGCTAGCATCTCACAGTTCTCCAGGGCCATTTTTGCTCTTGGATCCTTCTCAAGCTTTTGCATGAATGTTGAATTGTCAATTGCTTCCTTAATTTTCTTAATTGTCACCTGAAATGACATTTGGATAAGGTCTTTGGGATCTGAGGAGCATTCACCCGTTGCCTCAAGGCTCTCAACACATGTAGTTTGATACTGTGTAGTCTGGCATATGGATTCAATAGCTTTTTTCGTACTCGTAACATCTTTAGCCTCAGCCTCTTTATCATTCCAATTCATCGTTACGACTACTGCAACTACCATAGCCACCAAGATTAATGAACATACACCAATAATGGTGAAATTCCTCTTACGATTATTTCCCGCCATGCTTGATCTCTACTCTTAAATGTATTAGATATTGTAAAACAAATAATTAGAAATATTATTGCTTCACGTTCAATTCACCAAATTGTAACGGAGAAGGGCCTGGAGGATTGCTCTTGACCCTCTCCTCAAAATGGCTGAAAAAAGAACGAATGAGATTAAAGTCAAGTTATAGCTTTTCCCCAAACATTGTTCTGTTCTGGATAAGAAGCTTAGAGGGAAACAAGCATATTGACAGAGGATAAAATTGAAAGCTGTTCATTTGTGTCTTATTATAGGTTCCAAAAAGCTAGGAGATTTTTAACACCATCCATCAACTCCTATTTTTTTGAATGATCAATATTTAAACCTAAACTTACGGGGATAAAACAGTGATGTTTAATCAATCGTCCGTTGGCAACTTTTTATCCATTCTTTCTACACGCCTTAAACACACGAGTTATACTTAACCATAACTATAAATATCATATGAACACGTTTTTTTACGCGTTTACAGGCTAAATAACCAAGAAATGAATGCATCACATAGTAAAAAAAAAAATAGGGGTGAAAAAACAAATACATAATGAATTAGATAGAGGATCACTTGGAATTAGCTGAAGAACACAACCAAATAAAGAATTAAAAAAATTCTTGCTTATTATAAATATAAACCACCAGTGTAAGGGACTCCAGTCCAATGCAGCCAATAATTCCCGAATATGAAATTGGAGACAGTGAAAGAAGATGCATCCATATAACTAATTTCACCGCGATAACCATGCCATCGGACCCTTTTACTGGTGTCCGATCCTGGACCATCGTTCTTAAATTCAGCATAATACAACGTACTCAGCGCGAAATTGTCTGTCCAAATCGACCAACCATCAGGATGAATAAAACTATCCAAAAATGATCGCATATAAACAGTTCTCGAATACTCTTTCCACGGCCTCCCTAAATATGTCCGTACTGGTTTTGTGCCAGTATACGAGGCCAACTCAATAGACGGAGTAATGGTACATTTGTGAATGGATATGCCTGTGTTCTGGTTAATATCTGTTCTGCCCTGTGCTGTAATTGCATTAAACTGACCGGGCAATGGAAGACGCGGATATATGTTACAATTTTGGAAAACAACAGCTGAATTTCCAAAAATGAAATCTATAGTCCCGTAGATATTACAGTCCTTGTAGAATTGTCTCAGAGAATGTGTGTAAAGTGTGTCTTGGTAGCCTTCAAAGCTGCAGTAGTAGAATGCGGATAGATCAGCGCTATTCCGAACGGCTACAGCTTGGAACTTTGCTGCTCCTGCTGTGTTCTTAAACGTAATGTTCATTGCTACAAATCCTTGCCCATCTACAGCTGCATCAGTCATTATATACATTTAGATCCATGAAAAAAATAATTAAATGAAGTTATGTGCCTCAACACTGTTAAACGAATAACTACTCGTAATGAAATACGCTACTATAACAGATTAATTATACTAGTGTAAAAATTATTTACAATGTCATGTGTAGTAAGTACAATTTTAAAAGAAAGTTGGTATGTTCTTTCCCGATAATTGTAGTGCTTATTAAGTAGGCTTTATTAGTTATTATCCTCTGTCTTCCCCCAACCAACCTCAAATCCTCAACCATTATAATTTTCACTGGTAATGATAATACTACTATATATACTAGAGTAGTATATAACTGGATTTATAGTAAAGATTCATGTACTCCCTCCTTTGCATGTTACTTGGTTCCTGTACCAAAAATAAATGTTTTATTATACTCGTCTATTTTAGCAAATTATGAGAATTTTATTTCTTTTTTGCTATACTACACATAGTATTAAATAACTATATAAAATAGTAATAGTCAAATTTAGAGGTCCAAAGCATTATTAATAATGTTAATTTAGTACTCTCTCTGTTCCTTTTTACTTGTCCATTTTTTATTTTTTATTTGTCCCTTAGTATTTGTCCATTTTTGACAAATCAAGAAAAAACAATATGTTTTACATATTATACCCTCAATTTATTTAGAGAATTAATGTTTTTGAAAGAGGTAGAATCTCTTTAATGAGTAAATTGATTTTGATATTTTATTATGTTAATTATTATTTTCTTAATAAGTGTGTCAATTCAAAAATAGACAGAGGGATAAACTTTCTTAAGGAATTGTGTCAGGTAATAGAGGGAGTAAGATTTAGATGACTAGGATATCATATAGTTATTTAAGAAGCTTAAATAAGAGTATATGACTTCTAGTCTAGGAAATATATAATCCTTAAACAAAGGACATGGGAACTGCATGGGTACTAAATATGCACAGAAATTATCATGGGCGATTTTTTCTCTTCCTGTAAAATCTTTAATAAATGATACTCTAGTACTAGTACTCAAGATCTGGTATATATATTCCAAAGTACTTACCAAATGTGGCAGAATTAAAAGTTGTCCATCCATCAGGTACATTTCGATTCCCAGTGATTATAGTTTTGTCTATGCCATCGCCAATCATCATCAAGTACTTCTTGTTTGCAGCAATGGAAACATACTCATTGTAGACACCAGCAACCACATATATCTGATAATAGCCTTCATCTTCTATGCTATCAATTGGGGCAGCTGCGATCGCGTCGTTGATACTAGTATAGTTCCCACTTCCATCTGGATTCACTACAACCTTTTGTCTAATTTTCAGCATACTCACACTTATAAAATCACCTACACCAGAACCAGGATTCCACCCTTTCTTAAAAAGTGCAAGTGACACACTGCATATCATACTACCTGTTGAGACAGACATAATATAATTAAGTAAATTTAAATCGTGCTAGCTCTCTCTAAACAAAACAAGCTCTAAGCTTTTAAATAAAAATGATTACAAACTTCAACACGACATACCTTTAGAAATTAAAGGTGTAATCAGGTTAGCAACCTGTAAAACAGAAGGCGCCTCTAGAAGACCTTCCAAACAAGTTTGTTTATTAGTAATAGTTGCACTAAGCCATGTTTCACCATCATTAGCTTCTGAATTCTCAAGTGAGTTATTCGTTTTCTTAGCAACATCAGCAGCATTTAGTAATAAATCAACGTTTAGACGAAGGAGATACTGGCAATCATGGAGAGCAGAAACTGTGCTTTTAGGCAGTAATAGATAATTTAGATTGAGGAAATCAATAATTGAGTTAATAATCTGATTAGTTGTTGAAAGGGAAAGCTGAATGGAGAGCCTTCCTGAGTCATAAATGTCAATAGAATTGTTTGGAGGGAGTAAAGTTTTGCACAAATTAGGAAAAGGGGTGATGCTGCAAATTCCATCAGAAGAGAGAGCAAATGCATGAGAGGCAGAGAAAAAGGAGGACTGAATTATGAAGAATACTAGAATAGAATGTGTGAATGCCATGGCAAACAAATGGTTAGCTAGGCTTATAAATATGAAGACATGCATTTATATAGCAATTAAGTTTCATAAGCAATTGTCATTTTTTTAATAATATATAGTTGGATTTGATTGATCATGGTGCAACTTGGATACCATGGTGTTGAAAAGTGGGCTATATTTTATATTGGTAATATATCTGATTCTCGGGGGTTGCAATACTTCTCTTATCATGCAAAATTTACACATCGATTTGCAAGCAAAGTAAAGCTGTACCTAGTGAACTTTTAAAACTTTCAAGCCTGAGTATTTAAATTCCATCTCGAATTAGGAAGGATTTGTTGGGTTAAAATAAGGATAAATTACCTATATACACATCTTTTTTTCCCATAATTTTCATTATTCCCTATCAGTTTTAAAAATTTCCAAAATCCCTTATTTTACTCCCAAATCCCCAAACGCTAGATACATAAATCCTAACTCCCAAAAACAACATTTATCCCTTCCTTATTTCACTCCACAAATCTCTCCTTAATTTTAGTCACAGAATCTTGATAGTTATTTTCTCATTTACATTTGAAATTCAAAATCAGTCTCTTTTCTTAGGTTAAGAATATTTTTAGACAGAAAAGTTTACAAAGGATATTTATGAGTCTTTTACCTATTTTTAAAAATACTCCAAAATTTATAATAAAATAAAATAAGTGAACTTCAAATTTTCAACACTAACACATAAATTAGAAAAAAGAAGAAGTAATACTAGTAGTTATTATTTGGTAATAATTAATATAATATTTGTAATTTTTTTATAATTTGAGTTGGTTATGGACTCTAACAACTAATCATTCATTGAAACTGATTAGGATTCTTGATTTATAATTTAATCTTCATGTTATCTCATAATAATTTTAGTTTCAATTTCACCAAAATTTCATACAGTCTAATATTTTCTTCTTTTTTCTTTTGTTTTTCATAATCAATTTTTTTTAATGGATTGTGTTTGTTCATGTATCTAACTGATAACTTAATTCTTATTTATTGTGATACATTTATAGATACACTTTATTTCAGCTTACATACATCCTTCTTTCACAACTTTATTGTATCAAATACATTATTATCAACTACAAAATGATACATTATGTAAGTTATACATATCTTTCAAGGCAAACAATACAATACTTATCAATTAACATAAGATACATAAATAGTAATGTATCATGCACTAATTTTTTAGATATGATATGTAAATTTGAATTTATACTAAATGTATCAATTACATAGCAACTACCACACGGTAATGTATAGATCTCAAATCTAACATCTAATGGGCAACAATTGCGCGCTTATTTAATGTATCTAGCATAAATACAATACTTATCAATTTAAACAAGATACATAATTTTTTAGATATGATACGTAGATTCGAACTTATACTAAATGTACCAATTACATAGCAACTACCACACAGTAATGTATCGATCTACAAATCTAAAATCTTATGGGCAACAATTATTTATTTAATGTATCTAGTATAAATACAATATTTATCAATTTAAACAAGATACATAAATAGTAAAATGCTAAGTAGCAAAGATATTCATGATGTATCTTCTCAAATTTTTCGACAATTTTGAATAAAAAATGAAAGGATCTTCAATAAAGTAGGAGAAGAATTTTGAATCTCAAAATTTTCAACAATTTTGAATGAAAATTGAAAGGATGTTCACTGAACTGGGAGAAGAAAGAATCTTGTATCTCAAAATTTTTGATAATCTTGAATCAAAATTGAAAGGATTTTCGATGAACTTGAAGATTCAAAATGATATTGTTGTCCAACAACAATTTCATCACTTTTTTATCCTTCATAACTCACCTCGCTTACCCAAAATTTCCACAAAAGTTTTTGAATCAAATCTGAAAGGTTTCTTCGTTGAACGGGGGAAGCAATTTGAAATTTTGAATTTCTTCGTTCTATTAGGATTTTCCTGAAGCAAAAGAGAAACTTGATGTTCTTACCAATTCCATCGAACAATCCAAAGGCGGACTAGAGAAATGGAAGGTTGAGTGGGAGGAAAAGGAGCTTCATCTGATGAGTTGCATGAATAAAACTGAAGAAGAAAATTCATTAAATGGAAAAAGAAATCAACCGGTTATTAAATCTGCTCAAAGATGCTGAGGATCAAGCAAACATAAGCATAATTTATGGGTTTTAATTAATTTTCAGATTTTATTCCCTTTTTCACGCAACAGAAAGATTTTTCTTGTATTAGAATTAATGTATCCGGATGGTGACTTATGTATCCGGAAGTATAAATTTTAAGGGATTATTGTAATTAGAAAAAAAGTAGGGATAAGATGTAATTTACTTTTTACACTATGGAATTTATGTAAGTAATACTTAAAATAATCCAAATTAATATACTTTTTAATATGCGAGGATATTGTTCATTTTGAATCAAATCTATACGTTGATCCCCCCCCCCCCCCAAAACGCTTTACACCAGTAAGATAATGATCCAACAAACTCCCCCCACCCCAAAAAAAAAAAAATTTAAGGAAAAAGATTTTCTCCTTTTTAACGAATTAAGTACCCATATTTGTTCATATTCTTGTGGGTAAAAAATATATTGAAGTCCACATTTTACCCAATTGAAATATAAATGATCTAATTAATTGAAAGATTAATCGTGTGCCACTGATATTAACCGAGTAACTATGGTCACCAAATCCCACTAGGATATTTTTTGTGCATGCATCTTTGAAACAAAGATATAAAGGTAGTAAAAGACACTAAACAAGATTCTACACAATCACACTATCATCTCCGTACTCATCTCACTAAATCATTGATTTTGATGTCAATTATTGGGCTAAAATAATACAAAGACAAACTTGCACAGTTTTTCTTATAAAACCACGAGTTACATAAGTAGCTAACTTTATTTTTCAGCTAGCTATTAATATGAAGCTTTGTCATACACTTGCAACAGGTTCTCCATCACGATTAAAGGGGAAAAGATTAAATAAAGGTGCATTCCACACAAAAGGTAGGAGAACAATTCTGAATAAAAAGAGTTTCGTTTTATGGTTCTTGCATATACGTTTTTTTTAATTGAATGAACGTTCTGATTCTCAATTTATCAAAATACTTCAATTGATACACGCAAGAAATAGGCTAATTTAACAGTCTTTTGTTCAATTATACAAAAATAAAATTGGCCTTGTTTTACTGGCCATTGATGATTGATCATGGATGAGATAATTTTGTACTAGTAAATGACTAATGTCAAGAATTGTTGTTTCAATTGTCCTTTTGAGTACAAGGTCAGGGACAAATCGGCACAACTTACAAAGACAAATTTGTCTTGCCTTTATCTTGAAGTATCAATAGAGGGCAATAACATCACTATTGACTACGTTGCATTAAGCAATCCAAAAGCTTAAAAAAATAATTGTGCAATATATATATTTCACGTGGCAAATTATGCACATGGTAAGACAAAATTAAAATAGTAATCACATGATTTTAGGAGATTTCGAACTGTAAGTCAACTTTTTTGCTTTCACCAATTAGGAGTATTCTAAATTTCTAATACAATCATTTTAGACATGAAGAAAAGATTATGAATTTAAGTTATATACACCGTTAATATTATATATGGATAAATGTATAACCAATTTAAGATGTGCCAAGCTGTGGAGATCTCAAACATTCAATCCAGCGCATTCTGTTCCTCATCTATGCAATTTGACAACGTAACACAGCTAAACATAGGTCAACTTAAAACAAATCTTCTATATCTTGTCGATCAACACATACATATGATAAATTCAAGCACACTTATAAAATATTTAATCATAGACATGGGCTGTATGATATATTAATAAAAAGTAATGGCATGTTACGTTTCTAAAAATCAAAGTATTCACATTTTGCAGTTTTCCTAAGCATTCAATGTAGTTTTTACACCTTACAGCTCATTTTAGCCTTTGAAATTATTTTTCAGTTTAACTGCATAAAATATCATGTGTAGTAGGGTATAACTATTGCTCTTCAATACAATGCCATTTTGAATTATATACACAATATAATGAAACAATTAAACTATTACTATACGTTACTGCAGCCTAATTAGTAAGACCAGCTGAGAACTGGACGCCGGTGGCCGGCAACCACGACATGCCGTCGATGAAATGTTGAACAGTGAAGAAATTAGCCGATGAAGGATCTTTGATAATATGGTAACCGGGCCACGTAACCCGACCCGTAAGTGATGATCCAGGCCCATAATTCTTATACTCACCATACCACAAGCTATTCAAAGCAAAATTCCCATACCACTCCAACCATCCTCTGGGCTGGACCATTCCACTCATGTAGGTATTCATGTAAACAGTCCTTGAATACATTTTCCAGGGCCGGCCCAAATAAGTGGGCCTAGTGGCGTAAATGTAGCTATCTTGGATCGAAAATCCAGTGCTTTGATCTGGGCTTTTTCGACCTTGGGCCGTGATTGTTACCTTCTGTAATGGAAGTGGAGGTCTAGTATAAATCTTGCAGTTTTGAAGAACTGCAGCACCATTGCCAAAAATGAAATCTATGGTGCCATAGATGTTGCATTCTCGATAGAATTGACGGAGTGAATGGGCGTAAAGCGTGTCTTGATATCCTTCCATGCTGCACCTGAAAAAGGCCGATTGGTCCGAATCCACACGAAGGGCCACACCTTGGAAGTTTTTAGGCCCAGCAGTGTTGCGAAATGTTATGTCTCTTGCAATAAATCCCTTGCCCGAAACAGCTGTTAAATAAATCAAAAGAGAAAGGGAACTAGTTGTCAGGTAGGATGCATGCATGTGTCTATTTGTTCAACTTTATACAGTTTGTGCATATCTAAAGTTGAAGTGCATAAATGTCAGTTGAAGTCAAGTTAAAAGAAACAGAAACGTAGAAAAGAGGTTGATGAGAAAACTACGTACCAACAGTTGCAGTTCTAAAAGTAGTCCATCCTTGCATGAAATTTCTGTTACCAGTAATGACAGTGGCTCCAATGCCATCTCCCAGAAGCATGATATTGGTTTTTTTCTTCTTCAAATCAATATTTTCATGGTAAGTTCCCCTCTTCACATAGATCACATATCTCCTGTTACTATAGCTTGGAGCCTCATTTATAGCCTGTGCAATTGACCGATAACGGCCGCTTCCATCTAAGGATACAACAGCATCTACATGCATTCCATTTGGATTAGAAACTAGCAAATCTTTGTCACCATTTGTCATCCACTCTGGATACTTTTGATTTTCATATGTTATGTTCTCATTTCTTGGTGGTTTAAATGGTAAGCTATGTAATTGAACATATAAAGTTAGAACATTGCTAATGAGTTGTGTTACTTGTGTTAAACTGCCCTTGATGAAATGTTCGAGGTGTCGGTCTGTGCCTTCGAATCCTTCTAAGCATGTGTCTTGATTGCTCAATGCAGCACTCAGCCACGCCTTGAGATTTCCCTCATAATGAACATTCTTTGAACCAGCTCGGATTTTTCTCATTTCACCTAAGGACCATGCTAGTTCAGTGACTGAGAAATCGAGAAGTTCTTGGCAATCCTCGATGGCCATTTGATCCCTGGATGAAGCTGATAATGTGCTGAATTTTGTGATGGATTGAATGGTTAGCTTTGCTTGATTGAGGGAGTTTTGAATGGCTGCTTTGAGGATTGAATTGGGGTCCCTGTGGACAGGATCATCAAGATTGGATTGTATGTGTGAGAGGCATAAAGCTTGGTTTTGGATGTTGTTGCAAGCTTGAATGATCATAGCATGAGGATCAAGAGTAGGGGATCTTTGATATGGATGGAAAGTTTCATATTCATATTGAGAGAGAACTTGGTAGAAAGGTAAGAGAATGAGAATAAAGAGAAATTTGGTGATCCCCATATTATTATTTTTGGATGAAGATTGGAAAAAGGGAATGGTTGCAATGGCCAATTTAAAAGAAAGATTGATAGGAAGGGAATACAAATTGAGAATTGTTTGTCATGAAAGAAAAGGAAGAGAAAATTCTAAACATGGAAATATATGCTTTTCTCTCTTTCCAACTTTCAAGTTATCCTGCATGCCTTGTATGACATGGTTACAAAATTCCCTTTTTTTACAATGTATTGTCAATTTTCTCATGGTGGCTAACTTAAATAGGCTATTTCTGGATACCTAAAGTGAGATTCTCCAGTGTGTGGGCTCCATTCAATATACTTTTTGGTTTGTAAAAAAATGTTGGTCTCCTCCTTCCTTTTCTACTTGTTAGTTTTCTGGTTCACATTTAACATGGCCACAATAACCAGACAACAACATACCTAGTGTAATTCCACAAGTGGGGTATGGAGGGTAATATACATGCAGATTGTACTCCTATTTTGGGTGGTAGAAAGATTGTTTCCGAAAGACCCTCAACTCAAGAAGCAGGCGCAAAATGGCAAAGGGATTAATAAGAAGATATTCTCTGCCATTAACTTTAGAGATCCTCTGATATGATGTTTTATCATTCATATAGTTGATCTCCAGACTGCAAAGGTACATAAGAAGTTTATACAATGAGTCCACACAAGTGAAGAGTCGCGCAAAATCTCTTCGGTGGACTTACAAAAACAACATGATGGAAAATTTCTGCTTACTGATGTAATGGGAGAAGTTTTAGGTTCAACAGCTCAAATGTATTGGTAGTACCCCATTCATGTAAGTGGGGGGGTATGGTAACACACATTGGCATGTACTGTTGGGATATTGTACCTTTTAATCCCACCTAATCCTGCAACCTCTTGCCTTCAATGTCTTAACTACGTCCGGCGTAAGATGTAGTCTCAGGGAGGCAATCAACTTAACTTTTTTCAGCCGAACACGGGAAGCCCGAAGAGCAACCTCAAAGCCATTGGTTGACACGTTGTAAAGGTTTACGAGCTTGGCATCCTGCAACCGTGTCAAGTTCCCCATCACCATGCACAGGCCCACATCCGAGATTGCACAATGACTCAGATTAATCTGCCATCAAAGACTTATTTCAGCAGTTGTAGACAAATTCATAAGCCTCTCTATTCCCATTTAGGTATTCAAGGACACAAGAATGGCATGAATCGCACAAAATGTACTTTATTTAGGAATACATGAGGAATAACAACAAAAATCTAGAAGAAAATCTGCTGCTTATACTACTGCATGCATAACATAACCAAGTCTCAATGCATAGCAAGCATCAAGGGTGCCAACAACAGCTACATGCATCTACTCACAAATGAATTTAACCATACTTGCACAAACTGAGTCAATTCCGGCTAGTAGAACTTAGTGAAATTGACATGAAAATGTCTGTATTTTTTTTTTATACGGCAAAATGTTTGTATTACACTTAATGATTATGAGTTATGACCTTCATTTTGAACTCAGTCAACTTGACCAACTTAAACAAGTATATAACCCAGTTAAACTCATAAGAGATTGTTCATTAAACCGTAAAAGCATAGAGCAATAGCAAGGCAATCAATAGATCTGATGAATGCTCATTTCAGAGATCTACTAAACAAATGCACTGTCAAGTACATCTGATTCTTGAACAGACAACAATTATAAAATTCAACCAAGCATGTTACAACTTTCAAGTCGAGTGTGGAATCAAAATTTTAAAAAAAATAATTATGCCACAGCTTTGTGCAAGAAACAGTGACATGATTCTAACTGATGATCTGATTGAAAAGTGTAGTAACCATCATACAGATGCCTGTGAGAAAGGTGTTAAAACAGACGTCATGGTTGAAACTTGTCCTTTTATTTACAACAACATCAACAACTATGCCTCAATTCCAAACAAGTTGGGGTTGGTTATAAGAATCCTCACTGACCATGTTTCTCCATTTAAACTCAACTCATGTCATCATCATACCAAATAATATTTTTTTGAAAATGAGTTAAATATATAAATAATAGTAACACTAATATTGAAAGTTCTCTATATTTTGACTGACATATAAATTTATGGTAAGATCAAAATACTCCAGAAAAGCACTAGGTTCAAAGTCAACCTACTAACAAGACTAAAATGGTAAAACCTGTTCCCAACTAGTAAATATCACCTATTATGGATGTTTTTCTTCCATTTTGCTCTATCTATAGCTAAGTCTGCATAGGTTCCAAAAAAACTGTAGGTCTTTCGAGACAACTTCATTCCATGTGATTCCTTTTGTCCTTTAATTGATATTGAAAAAATATAGTTAATCCTCAGATGGTCTCAATTTGACACCTCATGAGTATGCAGAAAAAAAAATCAACTCAAAAGTTCAAGTACGATCACTACCTGTTCATACACAGTACACACTGTTGCTGGTAAGAATATTAAGTGACCTGACATATCTGACGCTAATAAACCTTAAAGGGGAAATGGAGTAAGTGTATATGTCGATTATTTGAGTTGGTAAACTCAATATCAAGTTTGATCAGTCAAAACGTTGTCGATAATTTTGCAAAAACTGTGATTGATATCCAAAAAGTAGGGGTATTCTGAACTTTTTAAGCATTACAAACAAGAATTGACCAGTTGATTAGGGTTAATGCAACATTCAGAGTCCTTTCAGTGTGGTGCATATAGTGAAATGATAATTCTCAATCCTGATGAATGGCCTACTAAGTCCAAAGGCAACAAAGTGGATATAGTTGCGAGAAACATAATTCTAACATATCTTATCATGGGTCCAGAAAATTATACAAAAAGAGTAATCTAGAAAATCTACTAGTGAAACTTGAACCATTATGCACCGCCAAGATTACTATGCTATTTTGAACTTTGAACAAAAAGAAAACCAGGACTGCTTGATCCCAACAAACAGTCTTTTTATAAAAACTGATTCAGTTTTATGAAAGACTTGAGGCCAAAAATCTGTTGAAGTATTTAAAACCTAATTTATCACGGAAAGTTTTGTTAGACTCTCAAAAGTGAGCTGATAACATAAAAGGAGCACGGACTCTTGTAGCAACTAAATCAGAGTTACAGAGTTGCTGATAACTTCTACAAAAAATAAATTCCTGGCACTTATATAAATGTAATTGTGGACCAAGAGAAGAGAGTTATGTTGTATCGAACAAAATTTTGAAAAAGGATTACAACTCAATTACTGTTCTCAGGATTTCGAGAAATGATAAAAACTGATCAAAGGTGTATAGTTATTTAACCATTACGAATCAACTGGTAATGCAGAAAGTACATGCCAAGCAGATTTAACAGCATCATACATTACAAGAAGTAGAGAGAATAGTTCAAGATTGAGAAATTATACCTGTTGCAAATTCCTAGAGTAATAAGCAAGCGCCATGAAACCTGAATCATCAATGCTAGTACAGTCTTTCACATCCAATTCAGCAAGTCTCTTGCATCCCGTAGCAAGTGCTGTTAAACCAGTGCCTGTGACATTCAAAAGACTCCGCATCTCGAGGTCAGAGAGCTCTGGTAGATGGCCGAGACACTCAATTCCTCTATCAGTAACCTCACTGCAATAAGACAAATTTAACTTCTGCATTCTTTTGCAACCACTTGATAAAGCATAGAGTCCATCATCACCAATTCCTTGGCACCTGCAAATGGTTTTCAAGATACAATATAAGAAGACATTTTCAAATTCACAGGATAAGTCAGATGGGGCAATCACTTTACCGGTATAGATCAAGTTCACGAATCTCGCTGCAATTTCTAGCCACACAGTACAGTCCCTTGTCAGTAATGTTAGTACATAATCCCAACTTTAGGCATATAAGCTTTGTACATTTAGACAGGTAATAAAGTCCTGCAGAAGAGATGAGATGCAACACATATTAGCGCAGACCTAAAGCATAGCTGAATTCCTAGCTTGAAATGCTTAATTTAAAGGTATGTCACCAACTGCACAAGTTTTGGAGTAACCATATCATCGAAGACTTGACACGAGGAGCTTTGAGACATGAATGCACAAAGCTTCACATGTCATTAAAAGAAGAAAATTAGATGTCTTGCTCTTGAGAAATGGGAAGCCAACTCAAAAGCCCAAAACTTGAAGAATATAAAAATGGAAATAGAATCCAGATGAGACGAGGGAAAATCAGATTTCTTGCTCTGGGTCCTTCAGAATAAATGGAAATTTACCTTTATCTGAATGGTGACAGAATAAATACGTTAATAAAAACAAAAGAACAATGGCTTGAGCCTCACCAGTGTCATTGACTCCAAAACAATCAGTAAGATCAAGCTCCTCAAGTAAGGAACAATGTAATCCCAGGTGATATAGGCTCTTCTCTGTGAGTAAGTTGCAGCACTCCAACTTGAGGCACAAAACACTCCGGCAAGAATCTGTTATAGCTGATATTGCATTATCGGTAAGTTCGCTACAGCATGTGAGATTCAAGATATTTAAATTAACACCCCCTGATACCAGCTGGAGAATGCCCTTGTCAGTCACTCCTTTGCATTTTCCAAGCCCTATTTCGACCAAATATTTGCAATTGAAATTAATGATCTTGAAGAATGATTCAGAAACCGGTGCTCCATCAAGTATGAGCTTTTTCAGATTCTTTAGGTCCTTCAGCCCTTGGATGACTTTAGTAGGAAACTCCTGGTGCATCAAGATTCTCAATCTAAATTGCAGAACCAACATCAAAAACTCCCCAAGGAATTATTCAAAATGTAGGTTCTAACAACAAATTTACTCACATGGAAACAGTGACTAGCGTAGACTTGTAGCATTGAAGGATGTCCATTAATCAAGAAAGCTAAGGCAGATGAGCTTAGTCTGTCACACCTTGATACATCCAGTGCCTGTAAACATACAAGTTTCTGAATAGTTATGGCAACCCAAGAAACTTATGTACGCCACATAAAATGCTAAAGCTTGAGCTTTAGAATACTAATTTCAGATATTCATGGATAGAAAATTGTTTTCCACTATAAATATAACTTGAAGAAAGAAGAAATACGAATGCAGCTGGTATGCTTAAAGATCACTAGAAAAGCTGAAAGTGGGATTCATAAAAAGTACAAATAGATAGATAGATAAAGAAGGATCAGAACTAGATCATGCAGCATCAAGTGATGCCTTTGTTCGCCTACAGTCAGAATACCAGGAAATATCACCAGCCATAAATCATATTTTCCATTAAGTATTTCCTGTATTCCAGATTCATGTGCTTACTGCATAATTTGGTCATCAGGAAAATGTCATATGCACTAACTGTCTCAAATTCCAACCATGACACCTGAAACGAGTCATTCACTCTATTCCTTTTATGTGACAATACTTTCGTATGTGTCTATTCCAAAAAGAATGGCACATATCTATATTTGGATATAATTTTTTTAGTGACTGAGAAATCCATATGGAGCCAATCCTTTGGGCCAACCACAGCCTTTGACATTCGGGAATCTGTGACCAAAGACACAAGTCCCTCAACCTTTGCCAATTGAACTAACTTTAACGTAAAACTTCTCATTCTACACTCAACAAGAAGCTTTTATAGCCACATAGATGTTATGGCATGTTTATGATAACAAGTTCCAAAATTTTTATAGCAATACAAATATTATGGCATGATTAAGACCACAAGTTTAGAAGTTTCCATTTTCTTCTTTAACTCGGTCCCGAGTTGAACTATGTCATATAAATTGGAACTGAGAGAGTATAAGTTAACAAAAACAAATTTAAGCCCATCTTCACTCTATGATAAATAAATATAATTCCACAAGCTATAAGAAAATGAAACTACATGTGCTTATTTATGAAGCAATTGTGTTTGCATACAAGGTTTATTTTCAGTCTTAAAATCGGCAAAAACCAGATAGCAACATGGTAAAGGCCACCTTAAGAGAGGAGAACAAAACTCCAAAAAGCAGCTATGATCTCATATTTTTCTACAATTGATCACAATAATTTGACAAACGTGTTAATCACCTGAAGCGAAGGACACCCTTTTCCAAGATAATGTAGTCCTTCATCGTCCACAATGCCGCACCCAACCATAGCCAAAAGCTCCAACTTCTCCATACTGCTTATAGAATGCAGTGACACACTAGTAACCTGAAACAACACCAAATCCACATTTTCACAAACACAGATACCTTATATGCTACGATCAAAAAGAAGGATAGTAAGATAAACAAACCTTTAAATATGAAATGTCAAGCTGCTTCAGTTGTGTACATTTCTTGGACAGAAAATCAATCCCAAGATCAGTAATTTCAATACACCACATCAAGCTAAGTTTCTCTAGGCATTGACACCCAATTGCTACTTTTGCCAAACCAACATCAGTAAGACCCAAACACCTGTCGAGCTTTACATCCCTTAAAGACCCACCAAAAGATAAAGCCGCAGCTTCCCTATCACCAAAACCCCAGCAGTAAGACACGTCAATAGACTCCAAAACAGGACAAGACTTCATAAGAATCTCTAACCCGGCTGATTTCAACCCAGTGGTTCGACTCAGCACCAACCTCCTCAACCTCCTACTCCAATCCGGCAACCCATAACCCACCAGCATGGAAACAGCTCCGTCATTAATTTGGGGGCAAACGGAAAGGTCAAGGGAGTAAATACGTGGGAATTTGGAGAAAAGGGTTGTAATGAACTCAGGACGAAGGATCCGGAGATGGGTACGGTGGAAAGAGTCAACCCGGAGGAATGCTTTACAAACCAAACGGAAAGCTTTGCGGTCGGAATCATGGGTAATGAAGGAAAGAATTCTGATAAGAAGATCCTCGTTAAGAACAAACAGAGCAGAATCCATGAAAACTATAAGAAACAACAACAACAAAAACTACTTGTACTAAACCTCAATTCCAAGTTTCTTGGGTAAATTAAATGAATTCTAACTACTCCTTTAAGCCCATTTGAATCCGTTTAACATTCAATACGCTGACATACAAATCTTGAATACTCTGTAAAAAAACAAAAAAAAAACTCAACTAGTCAATACTTTCTGTTCGGATCTTCTTCTTCCCACCAAAAACTACAAGAAAAGAAAAGGGTTGTAACTGTATTATGTCGGGACAAAGAGGAAGAGGAGACGAGCGTTGAGAAGGGGTTGAAGGGTGGAAAAAGAAAGAGTACAAGAAAGACCAAACCGGGTCATGCAGACAAAGATGATCATGGTAGATGCCTAATTCTCCGGCGATGTTTTTCAGGTGGGTATCGGAAATTCCGAGGTGCTATGACGACAGGTGTGACATAGGTTAAAGAAGACAAGTAGTGTGTGTGAGAGAGAGAGAAAGAAAGGATTGTTGATATTGGGAAGATAAGTGGAATGGTGCTGGAGATGCATTTTCATTGATAAGTGATCTGTAAACTCTGGGATGGTGGCATGTTGATTGATGCCTACTAATAAGTGGCCAAAAATTAGGCATCTCACGTGAGAGCCTGCTGCCCATTTGAAATTTACTATTAGTATCTATCTTCACAAAAAATAATTAAGTTGTTTTAAACTTTCTAAACATAGTAACAAATTGTATTATAAATATTCTTGCTTCATTTTTACTTGTTACTTAAAGCCTATTTGGAATTGTTATTGGGTCAGAAGTTTTTTTTTTTTTTTTGAGAAAAAACACTTATTATGAAAAATTAAGTATTTGACAAATTCTACTTTTAAATGGAAGGAGAAACAGTTTTTCTGCTATTGGAAGAAGATAAAAAATTCTATTTTTTTAAAAAAAGCAAAAGCACAAGTAGAAAATTATTTTTTTAAAACTAAAATATCCCTTACATAGATATTTATCAATATATTCCTTATTAATTAATTAATATATTTCATAAGTTTGGTTAATTTTCATTGAAGAGTTTTATTTTTTTTATGTTTTATATTATTATTTATATATTGTATTGTTTATATTACTTTACGTATTATTTTACAGAGTTAGAAATAAAACTAACAACAAAAAAATTGTAAGATTAAAAAAAAGTAACAATTAAAGATTTAGACTCTCCCATAAAAATAACAAATAACAATTTTTTTTGTTCTTAATTTACGTATTATTTTACAGAGTTAGAAAGTAAAACTAACAACAAAAAATTGTAAGATTAAAAAAAGTAACAATTAAAGATTTAGACTCTCCCATAAAAATAACAAATAACAATTTTTTTTGTTCTTAATTTACGTATTATTTTATTTTAATTTGAATTTTGTAAACTTTAGAGTATTATAACCAAAAAAAAGATAATAGCTAAGATTGGATCCAAAAAAATAGGTAACAAATAACACAAAGATTCATCTTATCAATATTTTTCAATTATCTATATACAATATTGATTGAAAATTTGAAGATGTACATTTTAACTAATTAAATTAAAAATGTAATTAAAGTTCTTGTATTAGATGTTTGAAATAGTTTCTCTTTATAAAATAATCTTAAAATTAAAAGTACATTGATATTTACTCTTTTTCGTAATTTAACTCTCAAAAGCACTTCTTAAAAAAAAATTAGTCAAACACAAATTGCTTATCAAAAGCACTTTTAAAATGAATTTGTCAAATACAAATTGCTTTTATTGAAAAATACATTTCTGAAAATCTATTTTAAAAAAACGCTTCTAAAAATAAACAGTTTTTAGCAGCAATGTCAAACATGCTCTTAGTTTTAAATTTTCATTTTGGAAAAATCCTTTTGGCCAGAAAAATTTGCCATAATGGTATTTTACTTATGTTATTTTACCTTTTTGAACATTTTTACCTTTTAACTTTAATACATTTTAATTTAAAAAAATGAAAAAAAGATCAATTTATTTTAAAATAAAAAAAATATTATAAAAAATTTAAATTTCTGGCTAAATTCTGGCCATTTAGCATTACCCGTTCATTTTTATATGTTAATTATCATTTTTGACATATCAAGAAAAGACAAATTTTTTTCATATTTTACCGTCAACATTAAATACTTATTCTCCAAATCATTTTCCAAAGACTTAATACTCTCTTTGTCCCTAATTACTTGTTCAATTTTCCTTTTTCTACTTGTTTATTTTGACAAATCAAGAAAGGATAAATTCTTTTTACCTATTATATCCTCAATTAATTAAATTTGAAAAAGGTAGAGCTTCTTGAAAATTTTAAATTTTTAATTCATCTACTCCATAATTAATAGAGGTAAAATGATAAACTCACTATGTCAATCATTGTTTTCTTAATAGGTGTGTCAATTTAAAAGTGGACAAGTAATTAGGGACATAGAGAGTACTAAACAACATTTAATAAGCATAGTTTGGTAAAATACATATATCAATAATTATTTTCTTAATAGATGTGCTAAGTCAAATAATGACAAGTAAAAATGAACGGAGAAAATAGATCGAGTGGTGCCAGGTTTAGTTGACACATCTTGATTTATTCACAATTTATTTAGGGACAGATGCGAATTCAGAATATTTGAAAATGATGAAGTGTTAATCCTTTTAATATACATATGTTAATTGTGTTTCTTTGTATAATATAATGTAGGCACTATAAAATCTGGTAAGGAGATCTTTGAAACTAAAGAAGAAAAAAACAACAAAACAAGAAATTGGTATATATAAGTCTGTAACTACAAAAAAATGTCACCGTTTTTTTAATAGACATTACTTAACTTATTTAATATGTATTATACATATAACACATACATTATTTTTTATTTTACTGGGGATTGATGACCTCCTATCCAAGTTTCACCTCTATTTGGGTCAAAATAAATTGAGTTAGGTTTTCTAATTAAAATTGTATAATTCAAATTTAAATAAGTTGATCTATTATACTTTCTTTATGAATATCAATTATTTAAAATTATTGCATTGGAGAGCTAGGTCAACATGATATCAATAATAGTTCACGTTATAGTAGTACGTACTTTCTTTTATCCAATAACACTTGTTCATTATTTATTTTGCATATTTTTTAAAAATTTACCATTTGAATATAATAAAGGAAAAATCTTTTTGGCCAAAAAATTTAATCAGAATGGTAAAATAACATATTTCACACTATTTTATTTTACTTTTTTGAACATTTTTATCTTTTTAACTTTAATACCTTTTAATTAAAAAATAGAAAAAAAATTAGTTTATTTTTAAATAAAAAGGATATTATAGACTTTTTAATTTTCTGACAATTTAGCATTACCCTATAATAGATACAATATCTTAAAAAATGTAATAGAGAAATGACTATATATAATGATAAGGCAAATTAGAAACTAAGTGTAAAATTATTCATTAATTTTATAAAATAGACAAATATTACTTTAGACATTTTAAAATAGTATAATGAACAACTATTAATGGACGGAGGAAGTAATAATCGAACGATTCCTTACCAAAAAAAAATAAAAAAATCTAAGGATTTAATTTTGTTAATCAGTTCTGTATAATTAATACCTCAGCAATTGATTAATTATTCTTATGTATATTAAATTCCAAAGTCTATTTTGTTCCTCTTTTTCCGTGGCCGTACCACTTGGTGGGTCCCTGTAATAACGCAAATTTGTAGAAGGACAATAAAAGATTGAAAACGTGCAATCACCGTACATATCTGTTAGTTACCCTATCTGAACCATAAATTCATTACTAGTGGAATAATCTTATAGAGTCGACTAACGAAGTTATCTAAGGGGAAAATAATTCTATTACTCAATCATAGAAATACTATGGGAATTAGGGTGAAGGATGATAGGCAGAGCCAGAATTTTAAATAAGGAGTTGAAAATTTAAAGAAATAGATACACAAAGTAGTTGAAGGGAGTTTGATATCTACTATATCTATCTAAAAAAATTATTTTAATCATATACAAATAATATAATTTTTTACCGAATGAGATTCGGATGAACCTCCTAACTATAAGGTGGCTCCGCCACTGATGATAGGGATGGAAGTTATTGAGGTAGGAATAAAGATGATGTGTGTTAGAAAATGAGAAAGACACAATCAAATATAGAATTAAGAGTGTCTTAATAAGTACGGTGTCCTAAAGTCAACTTTATCAAGAGACGTTATTTTTTTGTTTAATATTTTTTAAAAGAACAATTAACCTATAAATTTATTATAGGTAAAATTTGAGTTTCATCCTTCCTTAACTAGACGTTTTAAGTTTGAACCTCAAAATGAAATATATTTTGGTAAGGAGCAGTTTCCTCTTTAATCGGCCTTAGGTGTTTTAAAATAAAATAAATCAAAAAATTTAAAGCAAGATACTAAACACCAAATGAAAAAAAAAAATTGAAGCAGCCTCGCGTTAGTGGCTTGACCTTCTTGCCACCCTTGTATAAAATGTCATTTATAGAATTTATGTTCTCTACTTTCTCTAGAAAAGTTATTTTCCTAAACTTGTTTTTCTAAAAAATATTTTCCAAAAAATTCAAACTAACGTAACATTGGAAATATTTTCCTCACTAGCAAACATACCTCTAGTTGAATAGATTAAAAAAAAAAAAATATTGTGAATCGAAGTGAATAATAACATACTAATTTAGATTGATAATATGACTCAGTAACATGTGATTTGACCAACACTTAATTGCTTTGATACAGATTTTTCACATTGAAAGCATCTCACTTTTATTTCAAAGACAAAATTCCATAATTAGTGGGTCATAAAGAGTAGGTAGATCCAATGAGAGGCATTTCTTTATCTATAATATAATATAAAAAAACTGGATCAAAGACTTTGCATCAAAATAACGTTGTTGTTTTGACCATCCTATATCAACTAACACAAATTCAGAATCTAATACAAGTTGGAGATCTTATATTATTACTTACTTGTTTTGCCCCTTTACTCTCAAAATTTAGCTACATATATTAATTAATAGGTGAATAAAAAGGATTTTTTTAAAAAAATCCATACACTAGAGTCTACATTTCAAAATTTATACCACATTAAGGGACAACAACTTGACTAAAACAAAGGAAGTCAAGTAATGAAGATGCTTCTCTACTAACCCCATTCAATATTAAAGTCTTCTTTCTTTATCATGTAAATGAATTACTGTTTTTTTCGATTTGTTTTTTCTTGAGCTTTACAAAACAAGTATTTCCCTCAGGCCATACGTTATTCAAAACATTAGAACTGCAGAAAGAAAGAGCAACTGGAACTTCCAAACAAATTATAAGTTTATCCGGGTCAAACCGCGCTAAGCAAACTTAATCTTAGATAAATGATTTAAGGCTTTATTTATATCCCAGACCGCGTCTTCTGTACAAGGGTGTGCCCTCTAGCATCAAGTCTTTGGTGCAACTCGCCTAATGTACACATACATAACTAAGACTTCTAAAATCATTTGGTATACCGAAGACATGATGATACTCGTTACCCTTTTAATTATTAACTCAGCTAGGTAGAGCTGGTAAGATATGCTTATACCATATAACAGAATGACTTTAGATGGAGTGTACATACTCTGTTTCAGAATCTGTGCTTGAAAAACTTCTTCAGTTTCGTGTTATTAGGAAATGGTAATTTGTCCTAATTGATTATCCCATGCTTGTACAACTTGTCGCCACCTTCAGCTGGTGTATAAGTCAATACTGGAGCTTGTAGCCTTGGGATATTGTCTACACCTTGCGATCCCATCACTGCTTGCACATTCCAATACCAAGGCTGAAGGTAAGGTGAAGAGATCGATGGAGAATATGAAGAAGCATGGACAACCACTGAGCCCCAATCTCTGTCACCAAGCTTTGCTTCTTTTATTCTTCTTCTAATCAACAGGCTTCCTACATCTTCCTTTTTCATTTCTGATATGCTTCTGATAATTGACATGCAAAGAAGAAGTATGAATACAGCATCTTCTTCAGGTGAAAACTCCACCACCATTAACTTCCAGTTAAGAAGTGCTGTAGCTTTTCCAACCGGATTATCCTCAGAGAACCTAACTACTGTTATGAATCCATCTTCTTCTTTGTCTTCCACTTGCTTTAACTTTTCATTTGGCACATGTTCTGTCTCCTCACCTAAGACAGATTTCTCGACTTCGTACTGCATTTGTCGCCCTTCCAATAACTTTACCTGCAAGGATTGTGTTCTTAAGGATCACTCAGATGATCAATACTCTATAGAATTCCTGCTGAGATCAAATCAGAGTTCATACACACTGTACGTACCACTGAATCAGTTGATTGCTGGTTTATTACGCTGAAATTTAAGCCTGAAGTGGATCTTGATGATTCCCACTGTACTAATAGCTCATGTCCTGTTGAAAGATTCCAAAGAGCATGCCATCCTTCTGGTGGATCTTTTGGTTTTGCAATACCTACCACTTTCTCTGTACTAGATGAGAAACACAAGCAAATGACACCACAAATTAGGTAGGAAACCGATAATAGGAGACATCCACTGGAAAGTGGTAACCAGCATGATCTATGAGTTGATAACTAATAGACTGTTGAAATGAATGTTTGGCCAGAGAAAAGATAAGAGTCAAGTAGACAGAGGAATTATAACATACCAGGCACTCTACCGATGGAACCAGCAACATAGGACCAACGACCTTCACGTATTTCTATAATACGGTCCTCCCATTTTACAGCTGAAGGAGTTTCAGCTCCTCTCCTCCAAAAGCCACCTCCAACTCTAGCATTATTGTCAACAACACAAGATCAGGAGATAAAACACAAGGAGGCAGATCATCACTTAGACAAAATAAAAAAGTTCACTACCTAAAACGAATCACAAAGCATTCCCTGCCTGCATGATCCAGAACAGTCCGAGATAACCATCTACCTTCTTGGGGATGATATTGGTTCATCCTCAGAATAACATCAGATATCATAGCACCTGAATCATCTGATACTCGGTCAGGTACACATTTCAACAAGTAGGAGGCTTGGACAGGAGGAGTTATTGATGTAGCTACCCTGACTTTTTGGTCAATTTCTTTTGCAAAATTGAGAGAAGGCGCACGTAACAAATCATTCCAAAGAAATGTTACACTCTCTCTCAAGCTACTTCCTTTGATGCAGCCACCACCACGTTGGCGAACCTCAAGAACCATTCCTTTAGTTCCAAACTCACAATACAGGTGCAAGGCTTTTTGCCACCTTTGAGACGTAAATTTGCTGAGTGGTCTATCTATTTTGAGCTCCCTGTGACATCTAACCATCTGAAGACGTAAAAACTCCTTTGACGCATCCCAACTCAAAGGTTTCATTTTTTGTTTTAGCCTCACTGTTAAACAGACCTGTAATGCAAACCATAGCACATCCAACCTTTTAGTCATTCCTTCTAGATACTACTGCAACGCTATTCCCGCACCCATCCCACCTCCAAACCCAAAAAAGAAAAGTAAAAGAAACATGAAGAAGCTATAGATGATAAACCTGATTGTCTGATGATATCAAATTAACTAACTAGATTGGGCTTCCGATAGAACTATGTTTGAGCTCAACAGCCACAGGATTCAACATGTAGCAGTCTTTGTGATGTCATACAGTTTTAATCAGGCAATAGACATTAACCCCTTTGAGTAATTTTGCTCAAGTTTTGTCATCCAAGTAAATAAATCAGAAATCTAGGAATAAATGCTATAATCAAAGAAAAGCTCTATCCATGAAATCAAGTCTCTGCCTGTGCGACAGTGACAAAGGAAAATCCCTCATAGTACAATGCCTTCATGGAACTGGTCTGCTTCGTAATCATGCTTGAGGAAAACCAACTATATGTTGCAGGTCTTGGTGGATTGACCATTTACAAAACTAGTTAATTGTAAACTAGGTACCCCAAATTATTTCTGTTCTTCATTACATCAATGATTTTATCTGATTCACACAAAAATCCAGCAATAGAAAAGGCAAGAAGATATATGATCATGCATAAGGAGCATGTATTTTGCAGATTTGCAAGCAGCATCCTAATTTTAGTTCTAGAAAGAACAAAACAAAGTAAAAAAGTCCTCATGGTATAGCAATGAATAAGCAGGATCGATGTAATATATTCCAACAAGATAGGTTCATCTCACTTCTAAAGCATGAAATCCTTAAACTTATTCTTCTTTTTTACTAGAAAAACCATGAGAGGGAAAGTATTGTTGGTCTCAATGGGAGGAACCAAGCCATCCACACTACATTATAAAGTTCAATTATAAATTCCATGTATGCTATTATTTCAGATTCTTACAACAGATTTAATTTATTTATTATTTTCAGAAATTACAGAGAGAAGCAACTTTAGGACAATTGTTAAATGTTTTTCCTGATTCTTAGAAAATTTTCAAGTCATATGACAAGCATCTCCGAACATTGCTTTGATCTGCCATTAGTCAATTACTAAGCCAAGAAAAGCAGTAAAAGTTCACCATATTTTGTTTATATCTTACAACTTTTACTTCCCACTCTAATGAAAGTGTAGGTAACAAATTGCTTTAGCACTTCCCTCTTATATACTTCTGCAAATTCATCTTCAACGCTCAATATTCCTTTATCCAGGATAACAACTATCATTGTATTAAATTGGCAAGTAGGCGTGTATGAATAAGCAATTAAATTCTCAAGATGAAAGCAACACACTAGACTTATCAACTGATGAAGACAACTCATCCCAACCAAAAACATGAAAACATAAAATAATAGATGGAAGAAGAGAAAAGATAGGAAAAGTAGGACTGATCCAAAAAAGAAACATCAATAATTAAATGTGACCTAATAAGATGATGATAGGGCACCAACTTGGATAAAAAATAATATAACTTTATAAGTCTTACTTGAGTTTAGTATAACTGCAACTGTTGGAGAGAGGGAAAACAATAATTAGTCCCTACACTCCCGTGACTACATTTTTCAATATGTCCTAATTTTAATATTGTCAAGTGGGAAATTGCAAAGCGTGAAAGCATAAGATCCAACTAACCTCAAGCAAGAATCGCGGTAACATGGATGAGTATTTCGCATTGACATCAGTATCTGTGACTTCCCAGTATATTGGTGGCTTGAGATCAACAGCCTTTCCAATGGCCAAGCCACCAGCTTTCTCATATGGCTGATCAAATATTCTTTCCCATAGTTTATTCGTGTTCTCAACATCTTCTTCCTTCACATTCTCCCATCCTCCAACTACTTTTCTCATTTCCTCCTCCAACCCCTTTGTGTCTAAAGTGTATGCAGTAGGATAACTCTGTTTAATCAAATACACAAAAAACCAAAAAAAAAAATGTATCAGCATCAATGCACTAGTCATTATTGATCAATAGACAATAAACTTATCTCAACTTGATGGAATCATTCATTTGAAAAGAGAAAAAATATACATATTAATATTTAAGTAAACAGATAGTACAAATCCACGTAGACCGATTTGTCATGAATCATGGTGAACAGACATCAGGATTATGACATTAAGGTTATGACAAACACTTCGGAAATTACAATAATGCTCAACACCATACTACCTAAAAGCTGAATAAAATTGACAGTGTACTATGCATTTGAATAAGGTATCAAAGTATTTAGGGCAATATTAAAATCAGAAATCTTTTACTAGCAACGTGAAGACCAACGAAAATGACCAGGAAGATGCCTAAAGGATCTTATCTACTTAGTAAATTAATGATCTTTTTGGCTTTCTTCCTTTAGATAATGAAGACATAAAGTATTTTGTAAGAACAACAATCAACCCAAAGCTCATTAATCCATTATGAATTATTTAACTTATCTTAAGAAGTTATGCTCAAGCTCCCTAAAAGTAAATTGAATAGAAAATTAAAGATTTCTCCATAGACAAAAACTTTAGTATGTAAACTTCAAAGAAAGACCTTTACCTGATGAGTGATCCACATTAGAAGAATATCTGAAGTAGGGACCAAAACAGAACAACTATCTGCAAATTTAAGCATCATATACAGAAAGCCCTTATACCGTTGTCGAGCTGCCATCAGATACACAATCTCTGAATAGTAAGGCTCAGAAAATTTAGTGTATAAACAAAGTCTTTGTTTGGATACTTCTTTCAGCAGTTCTTCATGAACAGTGGAAACTGGGTTCTGCAAATTGGAGTCATCAGATTCATTCTCAAAAGGCTCTGTTGGATATCTCTGGACCCAAATTCCTTTGCATCTGTTTAATGCATACTCTTCATTTTCTTCATTGAAAATAGCTGCCTTTCCAATAAGTTTAGAGAATCTTGATTCACAGTATTGTCTGTAACTGACCTGAATTGAAAATCAATTAGGTATGTAACTTTACTCTTCCATAAACTAGAAGTAAAAAAAATCATATGGTAGCACTTTTTACTGAAAGTTTTCACTGATAAAGATTAACATCTTTTTCTTGTTTTCGAATATTTATCATAAACCAAGTAAAATTAAGTACACTATTTTCACTGTATCTCTTACCGGATTTAAGGTGTGACAGTACCAAACCCATTCAATATCAAGAGGAGGAAGAATCATTGGAGGGTTTGACCCATTAGAAAGATCAGAAATCAATGGCATCCATAGCTGATCATACCTGCAAAAAAAAATCATCATCAAGATTTCCAGGACTCAGAAAAACAAGAAAACAGGAATACCCAGATGAAATAGTGTAATAGTTAACCTTCTAATAGATTCAAGAATGTTGGGTCTTTCTTGAAGCCATTGAGACTCTGTTACAAGTCTCAAGAACCCAAGATTTCGTCTTGCAGCAGCTACAAGATCGATACTCAACCGTACAGTTTCTTCCTCAGAAATTTCACTTAGGCTTCTCATGGAAGCAACATCCGAAGTTGACATTCTTGATTCTTGGAGAATTTTTCAAGATTCTGCTAGACTGCTCTGTACATGAAGTTTTTTTTTTTTAGAGTAAACAAGATTTTGTTTCTTAAAAAAACATGTTTTTTAGGTGAAGAAGAAGGTTAATAGTTAATCCTCAAATGTACAACTGGAAAGATGTCTATGGTGGCAATTACAGTACTATGCCTTTTGTTTTATAAGGAATGGGCAGCCATTTTATAATGAGAAACGTGGACACGTGGAATGTAAGCTTTGAACTTTCAGGTGCGAAGAACACTGTTGTAGGCAAAGGCCTATGTTTTCAAAGGACAAGGAATAAAATATCTTTACATTTATTATACGTGGTTTGGTATAAATATTGATAAAGGCAGATATTAGTAATACATGAATTAATAAAATAGAGATTATTAATATAGAAATAAATAATATTGATTTATTTTTATCAACGGTTTGATTCATTATTTCTCATTTAATTTTGTGTTTGATTAAAAACTCTACAAAAAAAATTATTTCCTATTATACATTTGTTTTATTATGAAATTGTTTATTTCATATAATTGAGTCAAGGTAGATAACTTTCGGACAATATTTTTTTTATTTATGATTTTCTAATTCATTTAACTAGTTAAGTTATATATATATTGTTATTAATTATGAGGTGTGATGTACCACTACGGAGATCCTTGACAGCACGGTGTATTTCTAATTTTTTGTTGGTCAAATATATCTTAAACTTAACATAGATTTAAGACTATTTAAATTGTTTAATACCTAAATCTTTTTTTTTTTTTAAATAGTAGTGGTTAATCGACAAACTACATTAAATAAAAAAATCAAAAGAATGGAGAAAAAAATATAAGTAAAATCATCAAATAACAAAAAAAGGGATTTGGAGAATCAAAAAGAACATTTATAACCATTCCAATATAAATAAAAAGGAAATCAAATTGCAAAAGAAATTTAGGAAAAGAAATAACAGATAGTTTAATCATTTAGGGATCTTATCCAAGAATTGTAAAACTTTGGATTAGTTATCCCTCCATTTCCTAAGGATAAAATAAGGCCATGGTTATACCCATGACTTAAGTTAAATAATCTAACCAACCAATGTATTAGATGGGCTAAATTTTAGTCCATGGACTATTCTAATTAATACCGTCTACCAAACTGGTCCTTAATACATGCTCCCTAGCTTCTTTTTTTTTTAAACGATCTAGTTTGATTACAATTTTTTTTTTTTAAAAACAATCTTATAATACTTAATTAAAGTTATATCAAATTAATCAAAAATGTCATTTAATCTCCGTGGCCTTAAATATATCGGTGTGTAAAACTGAAATTAAAGTATGGTGAAAAAATAAATTATTATTTTTAATTAAAAAGAAAAATAAATAAAAAAAAATTTAAATGAAGGGAGTAATATTTAAACTTATCAAGATATATACATTCAAAGTTCGAACTAAGTCATGTATTTCAATTGAATACTTTAGTTTTTAATAAAATATTCTAATTAAATATTTTATATTATAATTTTGAAGGAAGAAAATTGTGTCTATTCTCGTCTATTTATTATGTAGCTAATTACCATCTAAAATTTCCCTTTTTTTATTTTTATTTATATACATTTATTTCAATAAATCGGAATATCATAGACATTTCCTATTCATGGTTGTTAAATTAAAGAATATGATATATTTTATGTGGTTAACTTAATAGTATTATACGCAAAAGAAAATATGTGTAATTTTTTTTTTCAAATTTTGAATTGAAAGTGCCTAATTAAAATACTTTATTAGAAATTGAGGTGTTCCATCGGAGACTAACTATGTATTAAGCCTTTGTTTTACAGCAACTCTCTAATATTGCACAATGGTCCAAAAACTATGTATTAAGCCTTTGTTTTACAACAACTCTCTAATATTGCACAATGGTCTTTTTGGATGCCATTTTTTATGTTCATATCCTCCCAATTAAGATATGTTCAAATCAGTTAAGCCATAGTTATCCTTTCTCTTTGTTTTTTTTTATTGATTAATTAAATGAAACTCTTTTGTACTTGGGTTTAATCTAGTTACCCCTTTGTTCCCTAAACAAAAGTACAATACAAAATTCTACCTAAATTCAATATATAATCTAAATATCTACTTAAACTTATTCATTGAACTACTCAACAAAAAAAAAAACTTTAGAATATATAGATTAATAAGCCTTCATTGTACTTTTTTTCTTCCTCAAGTCATTCAAGAGATTATAAATCTTTAAAGACAAATTATTTCACGTCATTTTAAGTCTATTCCTTATTTTAATAACTTTAATCATATAATGTCACACTTACATACTAGTGTGAACAAACGTTATATGTAGCACATAATTAAATAATGTCATGTGATATTCTCTTGATACCATAAAGTGAACCCTTGCTCATGGCCGACTCATCAATATCAGGGCATAAAATGAAACTTAAGAGAGGGATCCTAATATTTTATTTATTTATTATATATATTTTTATTTAAAATCTAATTTTCTAGCTATTTTAGTTGTGAAGTCATTAAGTACTATTTTATAATCAATTTGTTTTAATAATTCATTTTCAAATAATAATATAGCTAATTCATTCATTCAATATCTCTTGACACATTATTGATCTTAAAGAAGATTTAATCAATTTCAATTTTGAAAAAACATCTTTCGGCTGAGGCAACGGTTACAGGAACTGTTAACATTATTTTATAAGCAATATGTGTATTTGAAAAAGAATCAAGTCTTTTTATTTGATTGAGTATTTTCATTAGATCATTATCTTCTACTTGTATTATTTCTCTTAACGCTTTTAATTCAAAAATAAATCTAAACCATCAATATCAGAATAACTATTATATGTTGAAGAAAGTTCAAGGTTAAGACTATTTTTTAAAATTCTCATTACTAGTGATCTCAATATTTTACCACTAAATAAGAAGTCAAAAATATTTTCATATACTTCAATTGGTTCAAATCTATTTTGAAGTAAAAAAATAGTTTGATCTACTCTACATATATAAAGTGATCAACTCTAAAAGATTCTTCAAGGAAGTTTGTGATTTCGTTATCCATATTTTCATCAAATTGTTTCTTACGAAACTCAGGTTTATATTTATCTCATATCAATTTCCTTAGTAGAAAATTATGGCACTCATAATACATATAAATTTTTTTTTAAAATAATCATATATAAGTAATTACTTTTTAAAAATGGGGGTCCAAAAATATGAGTCCCCAAGCGATGACTTTAATGGCCTAGGGGTTAAGGCAGCCCGGGCCTTGCTCCATTTTGGCATAAAATAAAGCCATAGAAATCCTCTAGAATGGGAAGAAAAGGTGTGCAATGTACAAGTGAGTTGGCTGAACACATGGTGTGCATCCTTTTTGAGAGCCATGATTAGGTGAACAGCAAGCACTATATATGTATTTGTGTTGTTGCACTTGCATATATATGAATGTCACAGAATTATTACATGTCACACTATACACACAATCAACTATGTGGTGGTCCATTCCACTTCGAATATGATCAAATAATGTTCCATTAAACTGGCCACGTTGATCAACACCAACCCGATCGGTCAATTTTGTTTCGTAGTTCAGTAATTTAATGACATTTTTGTGTGTTGTATCATCGATTTTCTTCTTTTAGAAAGTATCTTTCTAAGTTTGGATAGAATTATAACTTCGACGTACCAAAAAAGCAACAACATTGTTGGGGTGTGGCACAAATTACTGGGTTTTCTGCTTTAGTTTAGATATGGAATTTACAATTCAGATATTGTCTAGAGGTTCTATTGAAACAAATTTTTTACCTCACAACATATTTATGCACACTATATTCTTCAAATATCATGTATGAGATTAAATTGAATATGTTGTTAAAAGTACCACATCTCATACTTGCTTCAACTACAAAGGGTCCAAATGAATTAATTAAATTCCTAATTTAGAGATGCCCATTAAGTGAAATAAGGAAAACAAAATAATTCTAGTTTTATATATATCTGTCTACTTGTTGCCAAATTATCAAAGGGGCATCACTCCTATGTAGGACTTGAATCAATTATTTTATTTTCCTAATTTCAATCAAGGGATATCCCTAAAATTAGGGATGTAATTATATTATTTTTAATCTTTTTTATTTGGAGTGAATATTAGTTAAAATATTTAATTTTAAAAGCGTAATTTTGGTAAAAAAAATAATTATACTTTAAAATAAATATTAGCTAACTATTCAAAATACCTAACATAATTAGTAAAAATAACTATACTTTAAAATAATTATTAAAAATATTAATATTTTAGTTACATAGCAAATAAAATGTATCATAATATAATTAAATTTTTTTCCTTTAATTTCTCAAATCAGTCCACATTGGACTCATATTTACCCCACTATCTCGTGAAAAAGGAAAAAAAAAACATGACTCATTTATCCCTCTTTCTTTTTCTAACATTTTTCTCTCCTTACCTTGTCTAAGAAAATCATCTCGTTGAAATTCCTCAACTTTGTTCAAGAAATCTCACAGTTCACTCAAAAATAAATAATTCTCTAAGCATGAATCGAAGAATAGATACACATGCAACACCTATGTATTTGGGCTTTGAGCATAACAGTTTTTGTATGCGCATATAGCAACCAAAACAAATGCTCTCACAATACATCTTATATACAAGATCATGCAGATAGTTAATCAAACAGGTAAATTTATGTTCAAATAAATGAACACGCTTTTGTATCAAGTACAGATATATCAATGTACTCTGAAAAAGAAGGAATCAAAGAACATACTAATACACAACAAAAGAATACAATCTGAAAACATACTAATACACAAAAAAAAATACAATCTGAAAATTTCATATTTGTTTGCTATTGGGTTTTAAGTCTGAATTGCATTGGTGTAGTTATTGGGTTTGTTACGATATAACAAGTCTAAATTTCATTTTTTGTTTTGCTAAATAAACTTTCAAGAATGCTCCCTCAGATAAATAACTTAAGCTTTTCTTCAGAAAAAAGATTCAGAATTAGCATGGTCATTTTTACATCACAGGGAAAACACCTAATTTTCCAGATTGAAAAAACCCAAAAGAAATTTATTAATGTAAAACTTGATATTTGATTTTGAATTCAGAGAATCAATAAAGAAAAGGCAAAGCTCAGATG